TGATCTTACATACATCACTAAATTAATGTGTGATGATCTTACATACATCACTAAATAATGTGTGATGATCTTACATACATCACTAAATAATGTGTGATGATCTTACATACATCACTAAATAATGTGTGATGATCTTACATACTTTACTAATAATGTGTGATAATCTTACATCAATTGTTAATGCATTGTGTTTGGATAGTTTACCCGACACTTTCAAACACTTAATACCACAGTTGCAATGAGTCATGTCACTCAGTAAAACCATCAGTGTTCAAACATGACTAGATGTAATGGGCAAATGAACAAAAAAAAAAACTGGCATGTAAGTGACCAGTGGTCAAGAAAGTAATCACTGGTAAATTACGATACATTTCTCATACATTATTTTCTTCTATTAGCAAAAAGTTAAGTTATTGGATATATCACGACAAAAGAGATATCAATATAAAGACCCCAACATACAAAAAAGGTTGTAAAAAATAAATAAAAAAGCATGCATTTCCAGGAAGAGCCATGTTACAGTTTGTGTAGGAAAGGCATGGCTGCACTTTTGTGGTATTAATCCCTGGAAGAATCTAGGTAGGATTGACCGGTTGACTCTTTGTAGGAATTAGAAGAAGAGGCAAGTAAAAAATAATATTAAGTACAATAATCATTTATTAAATATCAGTAATAAGTACACAATTTGATAGTTCATTGGTCCTGAAAATTCTGAAGTAGTTCCCCATGTAATTGAACAAATTCGTTATTGTGTCCATCATGTTAGGATTTCAGTTACTATTTGGGCACCTGCATTGCCCTACAATCCATTTACTTTTTTTTTCACACACCCAGTGTGCCTTTTGTATTGATGGTATTATTAAGAACCTCCAAAAATCTGACTCAATATTTTTATTCATGCCACACTTATGATGAGTTCATAAACAGTTAAAGAAAAATAATTTTTTTCCAATACAATAACACTTCATAATTGCCTCTTTGCAAATTAAAAAAAAATTCAAACAACTACAAAATTTTTAATTAACATACATAAACTCTAATTACTTTGTTCAAATTATTTTATTCTTTGGCAGAAACATCTTAAGTGAATCAAAACAAAAAGTATCACAATGTTCAAAATATAAATGTTAATAACCTTTTCATGCAGTGAACAAAATATTAATACACGTAATTATATAGTCTTAAATTGTTAATCTATCAGTTACATTATATACGTTTTTCTCCTATCCAGTACCTTGATCACAAAGATACCTATTTAAAACCTCATTAACTTTAAAAGATCAGTCACATAACTCTTATTTAAAAATCATTTTCCATCCTCTTTTCAACAAAACTGTCTTTCTTTAGCTGAAGAACTTGAAATATGATTTGTTTCTTTCTGTTTTATAACCAAAATGTTTCTATTTTTTGTTTACAATTTGATTAAAATACACAAGTTAGTAAATTATTAGTTATAAGTGTAGATTTTTTATGAGAATGACCTCCATGTTATATGAAATGTAGATATGATATCTAAATTCTATATTATATGGAGACTGGAAATATTCAAATTGTGGAATGTTAGACCATTGTTAAATCCATTGTGTTTCTTTAATAATTTTAAAAAATTCAAACAGATTATTGCTAATAAATACTTTTCTAAAAAGTCACTTTAATAAGCCTACCATCATCAGTTTCTCTCATTATCAAATCTGAAGGATACATTCATAACTTCCAAATTTTCTTCCCCCATTAATCCCAAAATGAATAAAGGATTAAAACCTTGCCTTTTCTGTTAATATCACATTTGTGACGATAGTGAATACGAGAATCATCCAAAAATAGATGACAAAAGTCACATCCATCGAAACTCTTAAGAATGCAGTATATCTCTAAGTCGCACTTTCTCCAACTTTATCATCTTCCCCAATGGTGAAACTGACCACACAATGAAATCTCAAAATTGATAAACAACAATGCTGATATAAAGCTAAAACATGAGAAAACTGTAAGCACACATTTTTTACTACACGGAATACAATGCATGCAATGTCTTTCAATATCTATAATAAAAACTGGCTTTAAAAGTCTGGTACACAGAAAATCACCAGAGAAAACCTTTTTTTCTTTGTTATTTTAAAACATCACAGAATCTCCAATATTCTCTACATTCCACAACTCACTATTATAGCAAGATCTTCCTATTTAAACATATTATGCTTGTGCACTTATGAACCATTTATACTTGTCTCTCCACCTACAAGGAGAGATCTGAAGACCACTAATTTTTCTCGTATTAATTAATCCTCATATTTTCTTTTTAAATTTTTTACTTCTCTTTTTCACTGATATTTTTATGTCCACTTTGTCTAACAGTATTTCATGTTAGTTTTAATTTATTACTTTGATGATATAATTTTAAAAATCCACATCCTATAGACTTAAAAGGTGTATTTTTTGAACTCCTGTCCTTCATGTAAAATAAAATACAGTTGTGACACATTATTTCTTTACTTTTCAGTATTTTATTGAAGGTAGCAGATTTTCCAAACATGTTTTAATTACTTGATTCAATTATTAGAACCAACATGATTTAACAGCTTAAAACAGAAAGGTATAAAACACTTTCTTAATACATTAACATGTAATATTGGTTAATGCATTTTATTTTCAATAATATATTTATGCCTTGGTTTGAGTTACTTCCATTGTATCAAAATTATATTATAATTTCTTTTTTAATTATTTACACAATTTTACATCATTAATTCTTATATTTACATACAATTATTAAGATGGATCCCAAAAATATCATCATTCAATGCAAATACATCATCCAGTCATAACTATAAACAACAAATGTTTAACACTAATTATGCTTACATAAAACTTGGTACAAAACATTAGCTGTTTCTGTGACAGAATATATACCTACTAACATTAATAATAAAGAACATTCATATCTGATAACCTTATACATACTCACACAAAACATAGAAGTATGTACAAAAATGTAGGAAGTACTAAGTTATCCACTTGATTGGTATGGGCTTCTAGGAGACAGCAGGCTAATGTTGCCAAAACAACCGTAGCAGTACTAAAAGGTGTTAGTACAGTTCCACCTGTAAGAGTGTATTTTTCATCAAAGACCAGACAGATTATAATGACTAAGTATAACTGAAATCACCAGATAAGTGACTAACTAGCATAATTAAGTGTTCAAACGTACACACACATGTGCAAGTATACCATATTTATTATTACTTATTTGGTCAAAAGTAAGCTAACTCTATAAAATAACATTAAAATAACCAACTAGTTAATGAAGTTTACTCTGCATAAAAAAAATGACTAGAAATACATATTGTCATGAATCAATACACTAAGAAATTATAATCTACATTAGAATTCATTGATTTATTTGACTTATCCATTGTTCATTTTATGTTTAGGTCTAATTCAATATATTATATTTACTCCTCTAAAATCATCAGTTTATGTTAATGTTAAAGTATTTATTGAAAATCTAATAATTATTATGTTACTATGTAGTTCTTTCTGGATTAAAGGAGTGTCATCAATATCTCTTGATTTTTTTCTTATTACAATAAAAAACTTAGAGCAGACTTACTACATAGCATCTAGTTCTGGCTTGAAAAATTTATATATTTGATTTAGTATTTATCACTTTCCAGGTTATGAAATAACCAGCATTTTGTTGTGAAAAACATTAAATACTTACCTTCAGTTGCATAAGTTGCCATTTATGGCTTTAAATTAAAAAACAAAACAGACAATGATTTATCATGGACCTATGATCTGACCTTTCAAAATGGCAGCACCATTACCTTTGTCAGGCTATATACTGTAATTTTTGCTAACAGTATTCTTGAGATCAGTTTATATATATGACAAATAGCTTCTTTTTCATAAATTACAGGTTCCTTTCTTTGTGTGCATTATTTGAATTGTAAGAATATTTTGCCATTGTCTCCAAACTTATTAAACCTAACTAAGCTAGCCTGATGTCTTATTATAGAAGACAATATCTGTAGCATTCAAACAAACACAAGTTAACAGATATGTAGTCTACAGAAATTTTTAGAGCTGTGCTTTGTTCCTAAGTCTTTTAAATTTCCCATTAGATTTCTTTCTTGACCCTTACTAGAGTTATAGATAGTCACCTTCTCAAGGAACTTCAAATTACAGTTCAAACTGCTTCATTTGATATACAGTTACATGAGTCTATTATTATGCTCTATCCAATCATACTTGATCTGAGCTAATACAGATATTTTCAGAGCTTAGCTTTATTAATAACTGTTCAGACCACATGCTGCGACATCATAAAGGGGCAGGAATGAACAGTTACAGTAATAAAACAACTAACAGAGAAGGAAAATCACTTAAGCAACAAGACATGGACAATTATACTATAAAGGGATGATAGTTCTAAGTAAATACAAACCATACTTTATGAAGAGCAGAAAAAACTAAAACAATAATAAATACATTCTTAACGACACAAGACTGCACATAAATAAAAGTTGGAATCTTTCATCTGTTTTTGATAAATGTTATAAAATTACAAAATACCAATTATAAAATATTTCTGAATTACAAATTGTTTAAATAGTTACGTTTACTATCCTTACTTAAATTTTGAAATTTGATATGCAGGTGTGCACTCAAGTCTTAAAAAGTCCCTAATGGTTTGGATGCAGGTAAGAATATTTTACATTTTAAATTACATAATTACTTGAGATGTTAAAAATACTCTTGACACATTACCATGCAACATAATAATTTCATTGTAGAATTGTCTACACTGCATACGTTGCAACTCTTTTTGTCATATTTCAGCTTACAATAAAAAAAAAATTCATAAAATATACCTGAATGATGATTGAAAAGAAGGAAGTATTTGATTATTTCATTCCTGTGGTCTAATTGAAATAAGATAAACATGCTATACCATTGAACATTTGACAGTAATAAAAATTATGGAAATTATAATTTAAATCAATTTTTCTGTATACTAACCCCACGGTAACAACAAGAATGTGGCAAAGAGTTGTACAACAAATCCACACAGTGTTCCTTCGTAAGTTTTTTTACTACCTAAAACACAAAGATTAGAAAGTACAAGTTACAAAAGGTCACCTATCATTTTCCTGTTCAAAATAAACTGTCACCAAGAAATAAAAAGTCTGAACTATATTTATAACTAAGCAACGTATTATAACAAAAAAAATCCTTACTTAGAATCAGCTCATTAAATGATTGCACCAATGAATAAACAGAACATAGTTGTAATATGTTTCTGACAACTTTCAATTATGACAATTGTATTCACTACTAACAATGCTTCATCCACAAACTTTCATCAACAATTTTATCACTGAATGAAAACTACCTCATACGACCACAAATTCCTCATTGAAAACCATCTAATAATTTAACATTAAATAACAGCAAACTTATCAAGAATAAAGCTAGGAGACTTCAATGGATTTAAAATATTGAAATCATCAGGGTTTTATTACAACTCTTAAAACAATAATAATTAAATAACAAATAACCTATCAATGCAAAACTCTTTCTCAATATCAAGATTGTTCTACAAGTTTTTTACTTATGTGACTACTAATTAAAAATATCTCTTAAATCTTTCACTAACAAACTAACTGGTTTAAAATTAAATAACAAACAAAGGCAATGTTTTTTTCACTATGACACTTCAAAACTAAACGACAGGCAATAAGAAAGCGAACAGTACTGCTCCCATCAATACTCTCATTATCAGGCAAGTGGCAGCACTACCTATGTAGGGATGGCTCGGACTGTTCATCGAAATAATCTCCTCAATAGGTCATCAGAACTTTACAATACTATACAGTATTTCCTTTTATAACAATATCTATGTAATTACTGAGTCACAAGTTCTGGGAATGTCTATAAATATCACAGCAAAAAGTTTGAATTTCTTGTCCTTTCCGTTGCTTCTTTTTTTATTACATGATAACTCAAAAATCAAACTAATGGTGTCAACCAATTTCACTGAGATGACATAGTTTCAAATGGATTATCTGCTTTTATAAGTATTATCAACTAATAGTAATTTAAAAAAAATTGTAATTCTAGTGTAAATGATGTTATCTTGAAGTTAGCTTTCTTACAGAAATGTGTTGTTCCTTTAAAAAGGTTAAGTACAGGGTGAACAGAAATTACCAGCTAATAATAGATATACAATAAATATTACAGTTAGAACTCCAAGTTCTGAATACAACCTTCCTATGCACTGCATTAAAAAAAGCAAACAAGTACTTTTCAAAAAAGGAAGTAAATGTAGGGATGACTGATATCAATCCTTCAAAAACAACGGAAACAAGATAGTAGAGATGGCATTTGCATCATCCCTACATAATAGCACTGGCACACAGTGTAGTAGTGTTGACAAAAATAAGATAAATTAAACTCAGTTGTGATTGAACAGTTATATACATATACTGCTCTATGTTAATTCTTGCCTGTGCTATTATGTAGGAATGATGCAAATACCATCCCTACTATCCTGTTTGCATTGTTTTTGAAGGATTGATATTGCCCATCCCTACATTTACTTCCTTTTTTGAAAAGTTTTCTTTACTTGTATTAACATAAAATTGACTGGATACTCAATAAAAACTCAATAACTTAACTGAGTTACAGTTCTTTCTTCATAAAATATCTCTAGCACATTCAACATTAAGTGAGAGTTAATAACTCACCCGACCAATAGTGTTTTCCCCACAAAGTACCTCCAACCGATGCTGCTGTGTCACCAAATCCAAGTGCTAAAACACCACTCCAAACTGGAGGGGGTATTTTTCCTGTAAACAGTCACTCACAGTGTACTTCCAATCAAGTCTCTCATTAAATCATTTCAGCTATGTTCTTTAATAACATTTTATGACCATTAGTTTAACATCTAACGTGAAAGTTTATAATAATGTTATTACAACTATCTTTTTCTTTGTAGTTTTAAGAGTTAACTATATATACAAAATGGGTATTTCCCAATCACTGGAAACAGTTCATTTGATATTTCTCAAAATCTCATGTCAAGTGAGGTATATTTGCGTGTGTGTGTGTGTGTGTGTGTGTGTGT